GTTAGGTTTTAGTGTCTTTTTCAAAACTCATTTACAACCTATTGATTTACAACCAAGAGAAAAGTCTACTAAGTTCCAGGTTTTGTTATATTCTAGAGAATCTATCTCATTGTTAATAGCTTCTTACTACAAATCTGCATCTAAAGATGATAAATCTTCTTGAATATTTCTTCTTCTACTATATAGACCGCATGATTAAACTCGTAGTGTTTAGAAACTCTCACTCTTTTACTTCATCGAAGTTATGTTTCTACTTTGTCATTGCTTTCAGTGTTTCTTATCACAAGAATGTGATTTGACTCAGTGTCCCAATTATTTCTCAATTTGAGAGGAAATTTATCTTCATAGAATTCAACATCATTTGATTTTATGATCACTTTATCATTTTAGGTCATAACACCTATACGCCTTATTGTTTGCTGCATACCAAATGAATACACATTCATAGACTCTACTAACGAGTTTAACTCGCTCCAGGTCTAGAATTTTAACATAAGCCAAACAGTCTCAAGTTCTGAAGTAAGACATGTTTATTTTCCTTTTCTTCAATGTCTCTTAAGGAGGGATCTTTTTACATACTTGAGAATTCTACTCAGGACATAGTAAAAAGTCAATAAAATCCCCCCACCCACTAGTGAGAAGCATCACTCGAATTCAAAATAAAACAACAACTAGTTTAGTAAGAATTATATTTTTTTTTCTTTGTTCTTTATCATTAATTTTAGGAGAATATGGTGCAGTTATTCTATGTACAGTTCCATGTTGATTATAAAATTTATTAAATAAAATTGAATCATATCCAGTTCCCCTATCACTACGAAGTCTCTTAATCTTCTTACTAAACTGATTTTCAATTTCATCCACAAAAGTCTTAAACATAGCTATGTCACAAAAATATCATTCTTAGTGATTGTGTAAAAAGCTGACCCAATAAACTGACTAAACCCTACTTTTTTAGAAGAAAACCAGAAACAATTTTCTTTATAATCTCTTAAATATGCATGACATCCTTCAAAATTAAAGTCTATTTAGACGTTGACTCAGTTTTGCTTCTCCAATACTAACAACATTAGTGGGATGGGCAGCTTCCGAGAACACTTTCTTATTCGTGTATGTTTTGAATATTGCACTATCATAATAGACATGACGAGATGAGCTAATGTCTAACCATCAACCATCAGATTCACTAATCATGTTGATTTCAGTTATCAAAGCAATAAATGTCTCATCAATCAGGTTAACCTGTGCACTAAGGGCAACACAAGGTTTAAGCCTGACCTTACATTTCTTAATCATATAACCTAGTTTTTCACAATTGAAGCAAGAGAAAACACCAATGTCATTATTTGTGGTGGGGTCAATTAGAGTAATTGAGGTCCTTGAAGGGTTCTCATTCTTAATTCGGTTCACAATATTGTGGTTATGATTCTTTAATCATTTGCCAAATGGCTTCAGAACTACATCAAATTTCTTTTTGTTGTTTGAAATAACCAATCATTTTCTTTTTGATCATGTCTCTGAGATTCTTCTTCAATTTGAAGGTGAATAATCAAACTCTAAATTAGAAATTCTTTTGTTTTGTGGCAAAGCAATTTTTTTAAAACATTCAAACTAGGGACAACTTGTCAATAATAAAAGTAATTTGAAATTGTCCATATAAAGATGTACCTTTGGTGATGATCTCATAAGCAATCTTTTGAAGTTTCTAATGTTGAGCATCCATGAACCCTTCATATATACAATATAATACTTTAGGTAGCGACTAACATCATACTTATTTGTTTCAACTTCTTCGATGTCATACTTCTTTTCCAGAGCCTCTCAAACATCTTTTGCAAGTCCATTCAAAATATAATTTTGTAGAGATGATCATTCTCTTTACATTAGGTGATTTCTTTCCTGAGCTGCAAATCTTTCGCTTCATTTTGAGCAGCGGATTCAACTTCAATACTATTAAGTGTTCCATATAAAGTTACATATTTCTTACAGTTAATTTCTCCAGTAGCCATGGCAGTTATAATAGTCTTAAAACAGTTGTCTTACAATTTTTAAAAAATGTCTTAGAAGAAATTATCGGGTCGAGTCGCAGACTAGGTTACTCTCTTTAAAATGTTTCGTGGTATTTCTCAAATTTGTGCAATGTAGTCACTTTATCACGACGCCTCTAAGATAAAACAGACATTTCTATATTGTACGATTGCTACTTTTACGATAAATAGTCGATCTAGAAATACATCCTCTAATGGTACAAAGACCATTTGAATATGGTATAAATATTACTCGTAGTATCTAGTATAAAGACCAGTCGTAAACTTTTCAAACGACGAGAAATTAAAATAATTCTCCAAAGAGAATTCAACAATGGTGATTTGAACACTCAAAAATAATTTCTCAAACATAGAGAAATTCAAGTAATTCTACAAAGAGAATCCAAAAAATATTATTTATAAGTTCTCAATTCAAATGATGAGAAATTAAAATAATTCTCTAAAGATAATTTAAACAAGTACTCGAAAAGTTCAACATATAATAAGAAAGGAGTAGTTTGTGCTTTGACAATTCCAAAAACAAAGTTAGGAGAGTTATGAGAATGAGAAAGAAAAAATTAAATAAAAGTTTTTGGTGTGCTTTAAAATGAAATGAGTGATTTCCTTATATAATAAAGTAAATTAGTCAAGATTTATAATTTAAACAATATAAAATTAATTTTTTTTCATGTAACATGCAAACACCCTTATTTTTTCAAACAATGTAGAAATTAAAAAGCTTTTTTAAATTCATCTCCAATTTAAATATTGACATGTTCCAACATTACTTCAATGATACACCAACACAAACACATAAAAGAAATTACTATTGGTGCATGATGAAGGGAAATGGAAAGTGGAAGGATCGGTGTAATATAGAAGTATAATTTTAGATTTATTCTGAAATTATATTTTTGAATTTTTTTTTTTACAAAATGAGAGCGTATCTTACTTACGTATTAATTTTGTGTATTTAAAGTGAGTCGGAAATACATTTTCAAATTTTAAAAATAATTTTGATTTTGATTAGAGGGGGGAGCAACCCTTAAGGTGGAAAGAAGAATCCCTTATAAGGTTTTGTTACTTTGAGCTTACTGATTTAAAGGTCTTTTAATTTCTAAAACTACGGTACATACAATTTCAAAATAATTGTAGAAATCAAAAGAATAAGTTCAATCAAGATTCTTTTACAAACCATATAATCCGGATGCATAAGAAATTTCCAAATACTCAAAAATGTAATTCAATGACTCAAAATGGTCCAAAATAAATACCAACACTTAACAAGGATAGGACATAACTTTTGACTCCTACATAGTAAGGCCATGGAAAATGATTCCTATAGAAAAACAAAAATCAAATGTTAGTGATTGTATGCCTATATATATTGAAGAAATAAAAAGCATAATATCTTCATAGTATAGTATGATTTGGAGTAATAGTTGAAGTTACAAAGTGTGACACATTCTCAGTTGCCCTTTTATACCTAGATATTTTAACTTTAAAAAATCTTAATGAGGTCCAAAAAAAAAAAAACTAAATTTGTAGAAAATGAACAAGTTTGATAATTATATAATAATAAATAAATTTAAGATTAGGCTAACAAGTGTATCTAAAGTAGTACTACTTGTAAAGAAATAAAAATAAATAAATAATTTATATAAAAAATCAATTTCTAAAAGTTTCAAGTTGTTGAATGCACTATTACCTAGATAAAATCTTGTTTTTGAATTTTCATAAATAGATATACACCTACTATCATTACTCTAAATTTATTACATGTGTTCAATCATACTTTGCCATCATATATATTGTAAACCAGATTTGAGAAATAATATTTCAATGTGACAAGATGGAAAAATATATGTGCATAATATTGACATTGAATTTTATCCACAAACAAAATAAAAGTGCAAGTCTCATTATTAAACTCAAAATGAGATAATGTATAACTAATAACACAATTTTAATAATATAATTAGTGGATTTAGCTAATGTATATTGTCCAGAAAAACGTTTTACACATACATCAAATTTTGTTGATCATTATGTCACTTTGCTATTATATAGTTTTCAAAATATCTTCTAGTATATATGCTGCAGTAAAACATGAAGGTGAATAAATATCATTACTTTCAATACTTTGTGAATCTGTTTCTTCCTATGCTTGAAGGGTCAAGTTTTGGTTATACACATGCATGAACCTTTCACCATATGAAAAAGTCACTGATCATAGTATATATTTTTCCACATAGTTACTGACATGCAGAAGTCCTAAAGTTGAATTTGATTATTTGCATTTACACACTGTGTTTGCCATGAGAAATGTTACACATGGCATGAACTCAAAGGTGCTAGAGAGAAGGGGAACCAAGGACAATGAAAGAACTGAAAAGGAGACAGCCAATGGATTGTAAACCCTATTCACGCCAATTCATGCAGTGAGTGCAGGACTCAACAAAATGACAAATATTTTAACCAGATAGCATAGCAGCACCTCCTTAAACAATGTCCAGTAGTGGCCAATTTGTTTACCATTACCAAGATATAGCCACTCACTGCCTCATTGTTTTGCACACACCACATGAATCCAACAACACATAATCTTTCAAATAATTAAATATTCATCTGGTATATGTCTTTAGGTTTAGGCATAAGGAAAGAAAATAAAAACACAGATAAGATACTATTAGTACTAATTACTCCCTCTGTAAGTGATGAATAAAAACTCGTTGATATTATTAGGTTGGACGTTATATCAGGATTTGAATCTTAATACTCGGCCGTTAGTGTGAGTTTCTAGTGGTTATTACTGTTTGGTCTAGGGATAAAAAATAATAATAAAAACAAGATAAAAAAATGAAAAGGGTAACATCTAAAAATCTCAAATGTGAGGAAAAACATAGAAAGATTAAATTTTGAGTTGTGGGGGCTTACTTGGAAGAAAGGAAAACGGGGTCTTCCATGAATAACTTAGTTCTTATTGCATTTGTTGTCCTTCTGATCTGAATGGTGGCTACCATCGCGATAGAAAAGTTGCAAGCGAGCGTCAAAGAGAGGTGAGAAATGAAGTTGTTGATCCATGGATGGAGTAGCAGCAAGAGGAGGATGAGGAACAGGAGGTCCTGTGAAGAAAGTAGGTAAATTATTGGATGATGATGTTGTTGTTGATGATCCATGATCCATAGTTGAAAACCTGTGGAAGTGAGGCAAAAGTGAATTGGACTGAAGGGTCCCCCTATTGTAACCAACAAGGCCCGAAGAGGATATGGTGAAGTTGAGATTGTAATTATCATGATGAGAAGACGAGGATGAAGAAGAATTAACCACAGATGGTTGCATAAGATGTTGGTCAGACATGAATGGAAAATGCTGCAGGTGAATCATATCTGACTGGTTTTCATTTTCACTAGCAAATGGGGAATGTCCTGAGAAACCAGCATGATGAATCTGATTATTATGACCAATTCCGGCAGTGAGTAACTCAGTAAAAGAAGCTGTTTGAGACATGCTTTGACCAAGTTGAAGATGATGTTGATTTTGATGTGCAATGCTAGAGTCATTTTCTTTACTTGTCTCAGAAGTGCTGCTACAAGCAGACTTAGACTTAGACAAACAAAGGCTCTTGTTCTGTCTCTCATCAAACTCAAACTCAAACTCAAACTCGTGTTCTCTTGTTTTCTCATCACTCTTGTCATCAATTTGAGTGAACGCAAACGCGTTATTGAGAGAAGGTAGCTCCGAGATAGAATCCGAAGCAGCTTTAATCAACCAATCAACAGCTTTACTCGGTTGATCATAACCAAGTCTATCTTGAAGATCATAGAACTGAATCGCCGTTGTAACCGAAAGCCTAACTCTTCTATCTCTCAAACCCTTGGAAGTCATTACTTTACTGTGCCTATCTTTTCCACCCGACCCTCTCGACACTCTAACGATTCTCGATGAGTTTTCTTCTTCCCGCTGCCATCTCTGAAAATCACTTCCAACAACATTCTTCCTTCTACCCGAACCTAAATTCTCGTTCACAACATTCCCAAGTCTTGGAAACTTACATGCTTCAATCTCATCCTCCATATCACAACAATCATGCCTTGAGAAAGAGAAACTCATATGCTATGTGCTTTACAATTCATGCTTAATAAATAACTACTTTTCGCTGTATAGGGATGAAAAGTGCTTTTTTATTTAATTTTGTAAAATATTACGTAGATGTGATAATGATATATCACAGTCTAAGTCAGAAACCCTTGATGAAAAGCAAAAGACTGATTAGTAGGTTTCATTCAGACTTCAGACTTCAGACCTTCACCTCCTGCAAACACAGCCATAAAAGCAGGCCTTACTTAATTTTAATAATTTTATTATCATCATCCAAAATAAATTATCTATCACAACTTCATAACATTCGATCTAATTTTTTTATTATAAAACTATATTATATATTTCAATTGCTTCATAAGGAAAATAGACTTGTTTTCACAGCACATAGATCTGAGAATCCCTAGAAATCCATTAATTCGGTTCATTGAAAATACATCAATAATAAATAAATATAATAATAATAATAATAATAATAATAGGTTAGTTTATTTAATTCATAGTAAAGATTAGAAAAAGACCTTTTCATGTGTTATTTGAAAACTCGTTGAATTTTCCAAACACCGCTCATGTGTTGCTTCTAAGTGCAGCTTGAAGTGAAAAGAAAGAAGAAGAAAAAAAAAGGGTAGAGAGAGAAGATGAAAGAGTTGTTTGAAGGGTGAGGATTGATACACGTATAGAATTAGGGTGGAAAGAAGGAAGAACAAAACAAAGTGATTAATTGTTCGTTTGATCCAACAAAACAAGACAATCAAACGGGCTTATCGAGAAGTGTGCCGTTTCCACACTTTAGTCGTACCTTCATTTCTTCACATTTTCTCTACTTTGTTGAAAGTTGTCTTTGTATATAATTTTAGGGTTAATAAGAATTTATGCCTCATTTAGAGGTCTTCTAGTTTTCTCTATGTAAACTTTTTTTGTTTTTTAAAAACAACTTTTCCACGTATGATTTTCTTAGACTTTAATTTTTTAAGTGATCATATTCATCTGAGGAGATGATGATGCAAGTGGGTAAGTGATCATATTCATATGAGGAGATGATAGTGCAAGTGGGTGTTGATTGAATCTTAATATTTTATTACTTTTCATTGTCACGTGTATCAATTCACTAAATATTACGTGACCACTCAAATAATTAGGAATTTTACCCTTGTTTTTCGTCCTCACATTTGCCCTAAATTGAAAGATGTCATTGCCCATTAAAGTGGTGAAGAGGTTACAGTGAAAAATGTTATTAAAGTGTTTTTCGTCCTTGGTATTATGGAAACGCTATTGTTAGATAAATTTTTTCGATTAAGTTTCTCATTTCTGTAGTTGATCATGTTCAGTGTGGTTTTCCATCACGGTGGAGAGTTCCTTAGGGAGAAAACAATGTTTTACATGGGTGGAGTTCAAAACAATGTGCATGAACAAAATATTGAAAAATGGGGTTTATCTGAGGTGAAGAAGATCGTTCTTTACTGGGGTTATGAAATAAACAAGTTTAGGGTATGAAGCAAACTTGAAGGCGTAACTAATCATTATTTTGAAATTAACAAAGATGATTGTGAAATTGATGTTGATACTTATGTTGTTTGAAACTCCATTGAAGGTCATTTATATGTTGAACATAATGTGAAGGATATAAAGATCAGAGTGGTTGAGCCTCAATATATTGATGTTACTGTTAGGAATGAATTAAGTGATGAAGATGCATATGAAAGTGATGATGATGCAAGGAATGTCAGGTTTGATGACAGTGACGAGGATAGAACAACTGGATAGAACAATTGGATTTGAAGTTGTTGAAGTCAACAGGTGGTTAATGGATCCCAAAATAGTCTATGAATGATGAATGAGAGGTAAAACATGTCTATAAATCTCAGCAATTTGTTATTGATCGAGGCAAAAGAACTTGTACATGTAGGTTTTGAGATTTGATGGGTATTCCTTACAGACATGCTTGTGCAGCATTAGCTTATAGACAACAAAAACCAGAGGACTTTGTGGATGACTGTTATTCAAGGAAAATATATGTCATTCGTTATAGTTTTGCTATAAGTCTCATAAAATGGAATAGACATGTGGCCTGCAGTTGATGCATGTGAATTACACCCTCCTTTGTACAAGAAAGGGCCTGTGAGACCAAAAAAAGTTAGGTTTAGAGAGTTAGGTGAAGGAGGATGAAGATTTAGGAGAGTTGGAGTGATTTATAGATGCATATGTTGTACCCCAAAATTTGCCCTCTCAATTCTCAAGGCCTTTCTTACAAGGATTTTCAAGGTTCAAGTTTGAACAAGTGCATTTGGATTTTCCAATACCAAAATTAAAAGGAAACTGTCAAAAAGGGACAAAATAGATAAAAATATTATTTTGACAAAAATTGGAGAATTACAAGTGTTCTTCGTTTCATCTCTTTCGATTGGCCTTTTGGCCTCTTTCGACACAAGCTTAGCTTGCATCCTTCGATTGGCCTTTTGACCTCTTTCGACACAAGCTTGGCTTGCATCCTTCGATTGGCCTTTTGACCTCTTTCGACACAAGCTTAGCTTGCATCCTTCGATTGGCCTTTTGACCTCTTTCAACACAAGCTTGGCTTGCATCCTTCGATTGGCCTTTTGACCTCTTTCGACACAAGCTTAGCTTGTATCCTTCGATTGGCCTTTTGACCTCTTTCGACACAAGCTTGGCTTGCATCCTTCGATTGGCCTTTTGACCTCTTTCGACACAAGCTTGGCTTGCATCCTTCGATTGGCCTTTTGGCCTCTTTCGACACAAGCTTGGCTTGCATCCTTCGATTGGCCTTTTGACCTCTTTCGACACAAGCTTGGCTTGCATCCTTCGACTGGGCATGGGCCTCTGACACAGTTTGGTTTGGATTCACAAGGAAAAGAGCCTCTTGTAATCTATTTCATTTCCAAGGCAAAAAGCTCTCTTTTAACATCCTTCGATTTGCACCTCTTGCTCCCTATTTGTCTCTTTCGAATATGAACATTTTGTATTTCGTTTGACCACATGTACCCCCTGGCGTGCAAGCTTTCGATTAGACATGAGCCACCTTCACACAAAGGCTTCGATTGGAGTTTTGGTTCCCTTCGAATCACCATCTCTCAAACCCAACTCTAAATCCTTCGACGCGGTTTCTTTTAGTACATTTCTAGAACTCTTCGACACAAGTGGGAAATAAAATCTTGAAAGGACAAATGATCAAATCTGTGGACCCTGCTACGTGATCTTACTTTACAGGACTTAATGCTTGTATCTCACTCCATAATTAATTGCTTACATTTTGGATTAAGCTATTGTCCAGGTGATTAAGCCTTTGACCAAAAGTTTTTCGCATGAAAGTGAACTTGTTAAGTACAAATCCTGTGCCAAAGCCAACGCTTTGCTAAAATCATGCTTGTACTTCACCATAAGTCAGGGAAGTCAGTCCCTTTTGACCAACCACTTCAGTACTTCACCTTGGGACCTTGGAAAATCTGACATGACTTAATATTCACGTTTCAGCCAAGCGACATCTTTGTTTTAACTCCCAAACCTTTTCTCTATAAATAGAGGAACCATTGACAAAGAAAGGGTCCAGATTTTTGCTAAGAGAGAAAAATCATAAAAAATCCTCAAGCACTAAAACTTTCCCAGAATCCCAAACACTCACCTCTTTGATTCTGAAGAACACCCCACACATAGAAGTTTGTTCAAACTCAAAGACAACTTTCTGTGACAACTCTTCGAACCAAAAGCAAACCCCCTATGACTACTCTTCGAATTCCAGAAACACCCAGGTAGCAGTTCAAGTTCGAATCCCACATCCATTCAAGGCCTGAAGCAAGGTAAGTTATTCTTACCTTTGAACTTTTCGTTTCATGACATAACATGTAAATAATCTTTTCGTTCGTTTCAAACATGTACATACCATTGTTCCTTTCGTTTCCACCCTTTTAACATATTTTTTAAAGCTGAGCCTTTCGTTTTGCTTTCTGTTTACCTGAACTTGCTTAAACTATTAAATTGTTTACAAGACAAATACTAGCATGGCCTCAGGCCATGTTGCCATTTAATGCTTTAAATGAAAGAAACAGGAAACAGGAAATAGGAAATGAAGCTTCTGGCTTCTATCCTCTTTCTCCAGGTCGAACGAAAGAGACAACCAGGAGTATGAAACGAAGCCTTTGGTTTCCACACTGACTTCCAGGCCCAGCCAGAGACACGCTCACACTGATTTCACTGGCCCAATCGAAGAAGGCAACAAGGCAGAAAGGCTCAGCCAGAGGCACGCTTGCACTAAGTCTAGGCTCATACGAAAGGCACTCCCATGCTGGTGCCAGCCTTCAATCGAAGTACATGACCTGACTGGTGTCAAATCCCAATCGAAGGCCATGACCCCACTGATGCTAGCCCCAATTGAAGGAGGCCAACAGAATGCAAATCGAAGGCTGCTACTGCCTGGGTCGAAAGACACTCATTTTTCTTACTTTTATCTTATTTTTTCCTTCATATTTTTATGCCTTTCGATATGGTTGTAATAGTGTAGGATTTATTTTTTGCACTTTTTATTACTTTTGTACAAATGCTAGTAACTAGGCGTGTATGGCAAGATAAAATCAACAAGTATACAACCTAAAAAATCAAAGACAAATGCATGCAATAAAACACATTTTGCACACATGCACCCTTAGGGTAACCTCGCTTGTTGCCTCGGAAAATAGTCATGTCCCTCGAGCATGGGCGTTTTAGCAAAAACCCTCGATAAAAGATCGTAGTCCCTCGATGACCCTCGATGTTGCCTTCGGTAAACGATCTAGTCCCTAAAAATGACATTGCTAAAACGTCCCATATGTTGCCTTCTATGACTATACAAACGTCCCATGCCCGTCCCGTTCAACATCCTAATGCAAGGTTGTTCACCAAACACAATGGTGAAACAACACTGTTAAAAGGGTTAAAAACATGAGAAAGATCTTTGAGTAAAATTAGGGTAGATAGCTCTTAGTTACTTGATCAAACTTGCAAAACATCCTTGCCATTTTTCA